TAATAATAATAATAATAATAATAATAATAATAATAATAATAATAATAATAATAATAATAATAATAATAATAATAATAATAATAATAATAATAATAATAATAATAATAATAATAATAATAATAATAATAATAATAATAATAATAATAATAATAATAATAATAATAATAATAATAATAATAATAATAATAATAATAATAATAATAATAATAATAATAATAATAATAATAATAATAATAATAATAATAATAATAATAATAATAATAATAATAATAATAATAATAATAATAATAATAATAATAATAATAATAATAATAATAATAATAATAATAATAATAATAATAATAATAATAATAATAATAATAATAATAATAATAATAATAATAATAATAATAATAATAATAATAATAATAATAATAATAATAATAATAATAATAATAATAATAATAATAATAATAATAATAATAATAATAATAATAATAATAATAATAATAATAATAATAATAATAATAATAATAATAATAATAATAATAATAATAATAATAATAATAATAATAATAATAATAATAATAATAATAATAATAATAATAATAATAATAATAATAATAATAATAATAATAATAATAATAATAATAATAATAATAATAATAATAATAATAAATCATCTTTATTAGAGGAAAAGAATGTATATAAGTATTTTCAATAAAGCAAAAACTCCAATAACTCCAATATTGTGTAGTGACTGTCATTATTGAGGCGGCTAATAAGGGTGTCGAGGATCATATTCTACAGTAGAGGTGAAAGCACCCTTCCTTGTGTACATTCCTTCGCAACCAAGCCTCACATCTTCTACACTTATGTTTACTGCTCGCTTTGAGAGCATGTTATGTATCCACCCACTAACCATTTGTGGAACATTTCTGTTGGTTAGAGAGTGTATTATCTTTGGGAAGGTGGTTTCATCAAAAACACCTTCCATGCCTATGAAAACACCCAAGGTGGACTCCTTATTGTTCAGGGATCTTTCTTTCCGGCCAGCAACTAGATGAAGGGCTGAATCAGTAAATCTGCCTGGGGTGTATGCATGTTGGTTTGGGTGTAGTGGTGTTTTTGTAATCATCGCATCCCTTATGTACCTTTCGCATAGTCTTTCCAATATCTTCATGGAAAACTATGTCAGACTAATTAGTCGGTATGTTTTTGGGACAGTGTAATCCATCCTTCCAGGTTTGGGTATAAATACCACTTTTACCACTTTCCATTTTTTGGGGATATACCTCAGAGCCAGCTAGGCTCTGTATATACCCACCAGGTGCGGTGTGAGTTCTTCCAGACCCCACTGAAGTAGGGCTGGATAGATACCGTGAGGTCCTGGCGATTTAAATGGAGAAAAGCTGGATATTGCCCATATAATTTTTTCATCGTCTACAATGTTTTTGGCGGTTTGCCAATCATAGATAGATGGACTGTATTCCTTCTCTACCCAGTCCGCCACGTCTGTGATGACCGAGTCAGAAAAGTGTGTTGACAGCAGACGTTTCATGCTATCTTCGAGGTTGGCAGTTTTCGTGTCATCATCATTAATTAGCGTACCAATGCTTCGGTGTGGATTCTTGTGAGAGAGCTTTTTGAAGCCTCGCTGCCTGCGGGAAATCTTTGATTTCTTCGCAGTAGGATCTTCATGCATCTCTTTGTTTTTGTCTCAGGAAATCCTTTATTGATAGATTATTTCCTAAGAAGATTTCTTAATGATTTTTTTTTAAATATCGGTTAATAATATTGTTTTAATCATTTTTGAGCAATTCTATTTTGTGCATAGTAAAGGGTCTATCATGAAATAGCACTCAACGAAATAGAGCAATATTAAAAAAGCAACTGAACGAAATAATACGTATTAAAAGAGCGCCTGTATAAAATAGCGTGTATCAGAAGAGCGCATGAACGAAATAGCGCGTTTCAAAAGAGCTCCTGAACCAAATAGTGTTTAGTAAAGGGGCGCCTGAACGAAAAAGCGCATCTCAAAAGAGCGTCAGGTACAGCAGCGCCTGAACGAAATAGCTGTCCTTAAAATAGCAACAATTAAAGCAGGGCCAACAAATTTTTACAGCGTTATTTCGTTCTGCGCCGAATAGTAAGTGTATGTTAGGTAGGTCTTTATTTAGTTTTTATATTTCTTTATTTATTGTTATTATGTGATATCCAGTTCTAAATTTTTAGCTATAGTTTGACAACTTGTTTTCACTGAAAATTGCGTTATTATACAGGGTTGCTAAAAATTCTGACAAGATGTTTTCTTTAAACAAGTTATGTAATAGATATGTAAGTTACGTAATCGAGAGTCGAGTAACCGGAAAGTTTAGTGATCCTCCGATCACCTGTCCTAGGTGAACCAATAGTAGTAAAATATTAAATACTAATAGAACTAAAATGTTTCTCTAGGAGTATGGTAGGTTCTCCATTAGTGTTTTTAAAAAGATGAAGAAAGTTTCCCTGTTGAAATTTAAAAAATAAGATTTTTACTGTAGGCATTAAAGAGGTTCTATATACAGTTTTTATGACCTTTAAAAATACATAAGACAATCTCATAATAGTCTAAAATATGAAAATATTTTCAGATATTTAGGCAATGACATATTATCTTTTATTGTAGGGCATAAAAACTGTGGAAGATTTAAGATTTATGCAATTACTTACGTGTCTGATTGCAATATCTGCAGTTATCAAACAATTATTTTTAGCTATGGAATTTCAGTCTTTCACCTCTCTAATTCATTTTAAAAGAAAAACCGTTCTTCGAACTTTAAACACTTTCTGTGCTCTTGAAAATGTGCATCAGTCTTTGCAAGTCTTCATTTTCAATCAAGAGTGAAATCATTAAATAACAATTTATTTTCATCTATGCGACTGCTGATACTGCCATCTCTAAAAATCGATATTTAATTATTGTTTGCAGCAGAGTACGAGAATTGAGAACAAATTTTCATCGAAGTAGAAAAGATTATTGATGTGAGCGTGTCCAATATTTTACTCTTTCTCGTTTAAAAAAAAGAGTTCGTTCAAACACGGCACACTATGTATTAGCGAATTGGCTTCCAATTGCCAGCTCCTATAGTACAGTTTTTTTTTGACGCTTGATGAAATTTATGACCGTTTGAAAGTGCATCTGGTTGTAGGTAAATTAGTTTTAGTTAGATCGGCATGATCTATAAATTATCTTCTTTTTCGTTGTATTCTGAATCGCTAGATACATAGATCACTATGCAGAAATTAGGTTAATAAAATTAGTTGGTCCAGTTGCCAAGTCGTGTTAGGGATGGATGTCTTCCTAAAAAAAATTGTGTCAAGCAGACTATAAAAATTATCAAATTCGATCCATATGATTAGATTAAGTACAAGAATATTATATTTGCGATCTTTCTTGTTACTGAAAATCATTACCTGCAAGTGTATTTAACGATTACAAGAAAATGCAGGTCTGTCAGTAAAATAATAGTTTGTTTAATAATATATAAAAGAATTAAAAGTAGTAAGTACAGTAACTGCACAACAAGAAGTCTAATGCTAAAAGGACAATTTTTTCATTTAAATCTACATAAAAAAATCTAAGGCCACACGTCTCTTATCTGTTTATCAGCTAATGCCAACGTTATAATCAACCTACATGAAAAGCGTGTCCAAATAGAAGGTAGAGTCTTGTTACAGGAATTGTTCATGGCTATAAGTCGGCATTGCCTTAAAATGAGACTAAAACGCACAAAAAGCTTTCAAAATTACATTAGGGAAGTATAGTTATTATCGGTTTAATGTATTTTTCTCGTTGCAACTATCATAGTTGAAGATGTTTTCCAGGAATTTATTATAAAATGTGATAGCAGTGTAAACACATGCTCGCTCTTTAGATAAACAAACTTGCCCAGTCAAATTATCAGCCGTGTCCTTCTTTCTAATGTGGCAGCCGATGCGACAGCTCTGTCTGCGTAATGTAACGTTTGTTTATTTTAAACAACAGTTTATTTGTTATTAATTTATTTGAACACCTACTTATTTTAAAACAATACTATTCTAATTTATATATATATTTCGAATAACTTTAAATTGTTCACTATTTATCTTCACAACTCTTCGTATTCGACTGACTGGTCCGTGTTCTTCCATCAATATTTATATACAAATTGATAATTCTGGTGGATTCCAGAATTATCTCGCCAAAAACTACAATCAATTCACGTACGTTCTGGAAGGAAATCTAAAGTGCCCGCACTAGTGACGTTACATACGTTGGGTCTTAAGGGGTTTAATTATGTTTTTTATTCGGACAAGTGGAGCCTCAAAGGTCAAAAAAAGACAGAGAGGGGCTTGGAGTATTAGAGTCTGACTGAAATAGTTGGAATGGCTCGCATTACATTGTCCCCTCTTTAAGTGATAGTTCCTACTGGAACTCTTTCGAAACTAAACCGAAATGGTTTTATCTTTTAGAATTTCCAGTTGCATGGAATAAGTAAAAAGGGACTGTCTTCGCTGTAACCTAGACACAGGGCGAATGGCTGCAGACCAGTATTTGGCAGAGTTGCCAACTCGCAAAAATATTTATCCCTAAAGCATAAGTCATAAACCCCTAAAATCGTTCCAATTACTTGGAAATCCCCCTAAATTTTTTTTAAATAATTAATTACATGTTTTAATATTTTTTGAGGGGGTGGGTGGTCTCACAACGATAATTTTTAAACGGTTTTATTAGGAAACAGAAGAATCCAAAAACGAACTACATCTCTCTCCTATGACATTGACAATAATGACGTTGACATCTTTAGCATGACTAACATAAAATTTAAATATTCCCGCTGAACACATTTTTAATACTTGTTGTTATTCATAAATAAAAATAATAAATAATATACTGTTATACTTTTTATAAATTATTTAATACATCAAATAAAATTTCGTTGTCTTCAGAACATTCAGATTTTTTAAAGTCGTACATATTTAAATTGAATAAATTTAACATTTCAGGGGACGGAATGAATGTTGTGCAAGATCCACCATTTCGATTTAGTGTGAATCGAACCATCATCAAGCTTTGTAACATTTCAATAGATAATCTATTCCGCAGCTTATTTTTAACTATATTATAGATGGAGAATGCACGTTCGACACTTGCGTTTGAAATTGGAACTGTGACAAATGCTAATCCAAATTTTGAAACATTTTCAAAGCGTTTACAGCCAGCTGCGTCACAATCATTATAAACTTCATAATAAAAATCAGCTGAAGTAGAAATATTCGTCCATGTTTTGTTGCTCAATTGGTGCCACTCAGACTCGATGTCATTTTTATTGCCGTAAAGGTGATTTCGATGAATATGATTCAATATTGGTTTAATATCAGGTTTGACTTGAGACGTAGCAACCTTCGGGTGCAAATCAGCAACTACTTTTAACATTGATAAATTATCCGGAAGCCTTTTCTGAATTTCCTGGGCCAGACAACATAAAAAGTTCTTGCATCGTTCCCTGACATCCAACAAATCCTTTTCTTCAAGTTCTTGAGATATATTTTGAAAATCAAAATCAAAATATATTGAAGCTGTATACATCAAATGTTCGCGGAAATTAAATTCTAGCAGTTCGGAGTCCACCAATTTTTCCAATTTAGAAGGTACAACAAGTCGTCTTAACAAGTTTTTGTATAATAAAAACAAATCTTCAAATAATTTTGTAGGCTCAACATTATCACTTTGGAAAAGTAAATTTAATTGAGTAACATTTTTTAATTCATTTCTGAGAAAAATCAAAAAAGCTTTGAAAGGAAGCCTTCGCATGATATCATAAAGCTGTTCTGCCATGTAACATTTGTTTTCAGATTTAGCAATCGAAAAGAGCAGCTTCAATTCTTCCCATTGCTCCAAGATTGTATTAATAGCTTGATAGCGAGCGAGCCACCGGGTTCCGCTAAGTCCTTGAATTTTTTTTGGATCCTTGCTATCATTCATGGTTTCGAATAATGTTTTGTAGTAGTCCAAACGTTTAGGGCTGTATGAAAACCAGTTATGGGTTTCTCTTACAAGAAATTCTAGTTGGCGTGGTAATAAATCAGCTGCCTTTTCCGCACATAAATGCAAAGAGTGGCTAACACATTTAACAATAATTAAATCTGGCAGTTCCCTTTTTACTTTCCTATCTGTATACAGATATAAGGAAAGTATAGGAATCATGATTTTTTTCGACCTCGAGTTTTCGACGGATTTTTACGTTTTGAGGTCCCCTGAATCCGTTTTGACTATTTTCGCGATGATGTCTGTGTGTGTGTGTGTGTGTGTGTGTGTGTGTGTGTGTGTGTGTGTGTGTGTGTGTGTGTGTGTGTGTGTGTGTGTGTGTGTGTGTGTGTGTGTGTGTGTGTGTGTGTCTGTGTGTCTGTGTGTGTGTGTGTGTGTGTCTGTATAACGCATAACTCATGAACCGATACACAGAAAAACACCAAATTTTAAACTTAAGCTTTGTTTCAGCGTCCAATGAGCTGATTAGATTTTGGGCAGTGTCGGAACATCTGGGGGGGTACTTTATAGGTGGTCATTTTTATATTTTATGGAATATATCTGTTATTTACGTTTGGAGAAGAAAATTCTTTAAATAAAAGTTACTTCTAATATAATTATCTATAATTTTTGTTTTATGCAAAATTTTCCTAAAATGGTCCGTATTCGAGAAATTTGACAAAATGTAAAAAACATAATTTTTTATAAAAATTGTTCAAATAAAAGTTGTTTATAATATAATTCTCTATAATTTTTGTCCTATACATAATTTTTCTAAAATGGACCGTATTCGAGATATTTGAGAAAATGTGTAAATTTCGAAATTTGAAGAAAACTCAAAAACGGATAAAGGAAAAAACATTAAATTTTAAACTTAAGGTTTATTTCGGCCTGACGTGAAATGATTAGATTTTGGACAAAGTTGGAACATCTGGGGGGGTACTTTATGGGAGGCCGTTTTTATATTTTATGGAATATATCTGTTATTTATGTTTGGAGAAGAAAATTGTTCAAATAAAAGTTACTTCTAATATTATTATCTATAATTTTTGTTTTATGTCAAAATTTCCTGAAATGGTCCGTATTCGAGAAATTTGACAAAATGTGCAAAATTCTGATTTTTATGAAAATTGTTGAACTAAAAGTTGTTTGCGATATCGATTTCTATAATTTTTGTTTATACATGATTTTTCTAAAATGGTCCGTAATGGAAAAGTGCTAAATTTAAATTTTTCTGTATTTTCGTTTTCAATGAATATCTATAGAAAAATGTTTCGAGGTAGATGTATGTGTAAAATGTATATATTTAGTTTATCCTCTAAACATTTATAGAGATGCTGCAATAGGTTGTACAAAATAACCGGAAAATGTCTATAATAACTAGATAGGAAAGTCATGTGTTGGACACATCAGATTTTTAATATAGCAGTCACCGAATTATGTTTACCAACCATAACATTTGCTCCATCCACGCCGATTCCGATCATATTTTCAATTTTTAATCCATCCTTTTTAAGTTGATTTATAATTGCTTCATGCACACTTTTTGCGTCACATTCTATTATCTTTATTATTCTATAGAAAGTTGTGACAACTTGCTTTGTCTTGTGTGAAAAAAAACGCACCATAATGCACAGGACTTTTTGTGTTGAGAGATCAGTGCTCTCATCGATAATAATCGAATACGGAAAATCTCCTATCTCTTCAATTAAAGCTCCAAGCATTGATGGACCAAGCACATTTTTTATTAACATTGAACACTTAGTGCGATGAAGTTTTAGGTTTTTTAGAGCATCTGATGAGGGATCCAACTGAGGAAGTATACTAATCAAATGATTAACTGTTAACATGGAACAGTGCTCGGCGATGAAGGCAGCGATTCTCAACTCGGTGATTTTTGTACTTTCCAATAAAACTGGTTTATATATTTTAGATATAGGTTTACATGCCTTTGCTGATTTTTCCCGGGCTGTGGTTTTTTTATGTTTTTCAGTTTTAGCGTGACTAAGCAAATCCTTTTTGTGGGCTTTCAGCACTACACGGCAATATGTACAAGTCGCTAATGTGTCACTGGTAACATCAGGTGCAAGCCATCCTGCAATAAAAACATGGACTGTGAATAACGACGTATGAATTTAGTACTTATTTAGTCAAGTAAATCACAGTAAATAGGAAAACATTCTAGACAATACCAACACCTACACCTTGCAACAATACCAACACCTTGCTAATATGCTAACATTCTAATATTGAATGTGTGTTATTTGCCTAAATGAAATAAAAAATACCTTTTTTTTAATTTTATTGAAGAACAAATACTGCTGTAATTTGATGACGCCGATGATGCTATAGTAAAGGAATCATGAATATTGTTGTCTTTCTCGATCATTTATAAATTATGATAGAGCAATTAAATTTCTTTACCTTTTAAATATGGATCTGTTTCCCAAATCTTCGTATACTTTTGATAGTACATCTTTTTATTTTTCGTTATCGTTTCTTTTGCTTTCGGCATCATTCATTAAAATTGCTTTACATTTACAACGCAGTACAATCAAATGAAGTGAGAGACGAGAGTGGCGAATCGACGAGTGATCAAAACAAGTTAACAAGTGTCAATGTCAATCTCAAGTACTGACATTCGACATTGACACGTAAACAACAATCTTCAGAATCTTCTTCTTCTCCATTTGTATTTGTGGCCTCGCTATTCGGCCGTAAACAACAATCACACATGACACATGACAATTATTGACACAATAGGCTCGTTTGGATTGTCCCAGGGCTTACTTTTACATTTTTATTTTTTGCAATAAAAAAAATAATAAATATTAAGAGTCAAAAATCCCTAAAAATACCCCTAACAATATAAATCCCCTAAAAAAATCCCATCCCATTTATTTACCCCCTAAATCTGGGGGGAAAACCCCCAAGTTGGCAACACTGGTATTTGGATTCCGATATCTTAAAAGATTACTCCCACCATGTTAATGATCCTCCAATCCAGCTGAGAACATTCTATCTTCGGCATGTACATTGGACTCCAGTACGTGCTCTCTTAAACTAAGTAATGCTTCTTAAACTTCATAATAAGTGGATCGATCTCGGAAGGTGTTCTTTGTTATCAGATAGAAAAGGTAGCGCGATTTGTCTTGAAGTTTCAAGGCTTTTTTAGGGGTTGCTAACTGACATTGAAGTTCTAGCAGTCAACCAAACTTCTTACGAAATTTATATGCCAGTCCTCGCGTGTCGTTGATGCTGGTGGAAGTACTATGGACCAGAGAGTAGTCTTTTGGAAGCGAGAGCATATCTTGTTGTTGCTCGGTCCTAACACCATATCTTGCTTTTCCAGTACCTCCATATGCACCCATAAATTCTTTAAAGACAAGGTCAGGTGTTTCTTGAAGTTGGTTTACTTCTTCTTCATGGTTACTCTCAAATGGCGCCAGCCTATTTTGATGCACTACCTTCGGTTTATCGTTTGGGATCTTACTTATACGGTAAATTACATCATTAGTTTTATTGTTAATACCCTACGGATCTTCCTTTTGCAGCTTCGGAGAATAACCCTTTTGTCTTTTTGGGTTTTGGAGCTAGACTTTTTCGTCTTCCTTGAAACATCCCTTTGTAGCTTGGATATCGTACCATTTCTTCATCCTGTCGCTGGCGATTTGAAGATGCGAGCGGCCCAATTCAGGTCGGAATCCAAACTCGAGGTTACACGGTAGTCTCATCTCACGCCCAAACAGGACATTTGCTGGTGTTTGGCCTGTTGATTCATTGATATCGGATCTCTAAGCTATTGCAAAGAGCGGAAGATACTGATCCCAATTTCGCTGATGGTTTTAAACCACTTTTGACAGATATTTGCCAATAGTGTTATTCATTCGCTCTACCATTCCATCGGATTGTGGGTGCAATGGTGTGGTTCTGGTTTGCTTCGTGCCTAGTCTATCACAGATTTTACGGAATAGTTGACTTTTACCAGTGGCGTTACATACGTTGGGTCTTAAGTGAAGTGTATTTTAAGGATTTTATGAATAAAAAAAAAGAAAAATATAAAAACGTTTATTTATGCAATTGATAAGTTTACAATCTAAAGCATGTATTTTATTAAAATAGAATTGTTTAAAAATTAAAATAATTAAAATTGTTTACACAGGTTTATAGAGCAAGCCTAATTTATAATGCATAGATAAGTAGTTTTATTAAAATAGCTATATCCTAATATACAACAAAAATATAGAATAATCATATAAACGGTACTTATAAAAAATATTAAATAATGTGTAATTATTTTTTTCTTTTTGCACCAAACAAACGTTTTCTCAACGTTGCTATCTTCAGTCGCAGTCTCTGCTTTCTTGGAGTGTTTGATGATAACAAATTACTCGTTTGAATTTGTGCTGTTACACAAAGTAGAGAAACAGATGGTTGACTATGCACTTGTTCAATAAATTCTACTTCTGCTGAAGTTGAGGGTAGACACAAGTTGTCTTTGCCTTCTTCGCCATGAACAACAAATTCCTCTAAAAAAGAAACAGAAACCAAAGAAGATCAACTAGTGTCAAGAAGGTGCATCATTTGTCAGAATTAAATGTTTGAGTCACACTTTTTAGCCAGATGAAATTTAAAATAATTTTATAAAATGTGAATATATTTCTGTGCCTAGGAGGTAAACTGCACTGTCATTCTAGTCAAATTTTTAGTACACAGATTGAATGTTGTTAAATTATTAAATTTCAACTAGATATGCATTTAGACACCCATTTATTGTCAAAATATTCTATATTTTTTACTAACCTAACTACTAAAACTACTTTATTTTAATTTGCATAAGTTGTTATATGTCGACAATGCAGTTTACCTCCGAGGTAGTTCTACAAAATGGAATGTATGGGTTGATATTCTAAGATTATTAGTACTTATCATTTATGTGGTATCTACCCAGATCCTCTTTCAACATTTCTGTAACATCATAGTTGGAGGACCGTCAGGACTGTATGCACTATTCCCCTGTTTGTTTAAAATTTGTACGTATAAGCTCTGTACATTTGTAAATTGTTTTTATTAAATATTACTTTTCTGAAATAATCTTTAGTTTATTAAGATATAACTAATTTAAATTGTCACCCTGTATATGAAGAATTTATTATCGTAAAACATAAATAAACTACTAGTATTTAATATTTCCGTTACAAAAATGAATACTTACCAAAAACCTTTTGGTGGACGCGTATATTTAATTAAAAAATATAATAACAATCACCCAACATAAATATTTCGATGTACAAACGAGCCATCTGTATAGCTACCATATTTGATTTCCATTCTATTCTATTCTATTTGTTGGTAAACCTCATATTGTTCTATACGGTTGATGTATTGCCAGCTTGAGTCCTTCTGGTTTGACATGCCCTTTCGGCCAACATTATACTATTAAACCTCCTGTTTCAATGCATTGTCATAGCAGAATCAATTAAGACCAGCAACAGTTTATAGTAAGTACACAGGGTGTTTTAATAGAATCTTGTTAGTTCTGTTAGATAAATGCCGGCTTATTTTTTTCTACTACTTTACTCTCAAAAAATAAGTGAAACATGTAAGAAACTTACATTTATTAAATTCCATTTTTAAACCTGATGAGGACCCTCAGTGGCCGAAACTACCCGCCCTTCTATATCTTATAAATTAAAAGTTTGTGGTAATTGACTTTGAGTTTCATTTCTACTTTTTTATTAAAACCCAGTCATCCCAATAAAAATTAACTTTTATAAAGTTTGAAAATTTCATGACTAAACATCGAAAGTTTGCAATCTTCGTGAAATATTTAGAAAGTGCCGTCTTTGTTGGAAAATTAGCAAAAAACTTGTAAGAAGTTTTTGCACGTTAAATTTATAATTTTTACATAAAATTGGCGTCCAAACATCACTCAAATTTCAAACTTTAAGAATCGATTGCATAATAAGGTCTTGGCTATAATGCATTTATTTTTTAACTTAATAAAATATTTGAATTCATAAGCAAAATTGTTCATAATTTTAAATATTTGGTAAAATCTACGTTCCTTTAATTATGTATTCCATAAACTACTAGGGTTACTCTCACCTATGTAATCATTAACATGTATAAACAACTGACTTGCTAGCCCACACTCGAAATAACTTTATCCAGTTCCTACTGTGAATCCCATGGTGATAGCTTTACAAAGCCTTTGTCCATTATCTATTGCAGTTACTCTTCATTTTATAAAACAACCATCGACTTGCAGATGCCAACCTTTAGTCCACAATCGGATATCTTCCAGCGAATTCGAGAACCTAACACAGCTCATAACTTCTTTTAACCGTTCAACTGGGAACTCAAAAATTCGATTCATGTAAGACCCTCCAAAACACAATCTTGTACTCGAACAAGAAGCACTACTTCTCTTTCAGCAACCTTGACAATCTATAACAGGTCATAACTTCTTCTATTTATAATGACTTTGAGATTAACATCAACTTGGAAGTTAAAAACACTGTTCATGTTACCAATACTTCTAACAATGAGTGAAAATATTTTTATTTAATCCCACATTTAAGAGGGATTAATCCTACACTGATAAACAAGCTTACAGACTAAAAAAGATTTCAACTTACACTTGGTGAGAACAATTGAATTACATATTCAAATAGGATGGTGAAAGATTTGGATACAGAAACAGAATTATTTATATTGAATAATAAATAGGGGAGGGTGGGCCACGTTGAGACATTTTTTAAATTTTTTTTTGTCTGGCAGCTACACTTTAAAGAATTTCAAAACTCCAATCATGTTTTAGGTTCCCAAATTAGTTATAAACCATAATCAAGTAATAGAATTCAAATACAACCAGTGTAGTTTTATTTTTTGAATTTTCTTTAAACGAATGATTTTGTCGCAAGGTGGCCCATACAATGGGCCACCTTGAGACATTCTAAAGGTTACCTTGAAACAGAGTAAAAACTAAATCAATGCAAGGAAACAAATTATATTTATTATTATTATTTATTATATGTATTCAACGAATTTTAACATTATCGAAATTGATACCAAATGATATGTATGATTCTT